CACCATCTTTGGGGAAGGCAGATGGAGAGGTGATGGCGCTGTGCTTAGCGCGACCGTGTCCCGCTAAGCGATCAGCTCCGGAGGGGGTCGGTAAAAGGGGGTGACCGCAGCGGTGGTCCCCTGCAGCACAAAGGGGGTAAGTGGTGATACAGCTGCGGAGGGCGCTGTCACTTCGCGTTGTGTCCCTTCGCAGTGCTAATGCTGTTGTTCCTGCTCGCCGGCCCTGCGCTCTCACCTCAGCCAGGGGTCCTGCCCAGGTGCCTTCTCTAAGGAAGAGCCAGAGGGTCCCGTAGCACTGCTAGCGTTCCCAGCAGGGAACTGTACAAAGTTGGTGTCTGTAGGCAAAAGAGGCTTTGGCAATGAAGCACCATCCTCCAAATGAAAGCGGACAGCACAAAAAAAGCAGACAGAATAGCTTCTGTGTTTTTTACCCTGAGGGTGGTGAGGCACTGGAACAGGCTGCTTGGAGAAGCTGTGGATGCCCCATCCCTGGAAAGTGTTCAAGGCCAGGCTGGATGGGGCTTTGAGCAACCTGGTCTAGCAGAAGGTGTCCCTGCCCAGGACAGGGGGGTTGGAACTAAATGATCTTTAAGGTCACTTCCAACCTAAACCATTCGAGGATTCTACACACTGTAAAGCGTGTTTATCAGTCAAACTTAAAAGTACTTCTGGAAAAACGAGGCAGTTTGTTACCAGTAGTAAGTAAAGCCGTTCAGTCATGGCACAACACACAACGAGCATTCATTCTGTTTAGAAGGATGTTTTTGCTGTCATTGTGTTTATTTTGAGCTGTTCTGGTAACTCCTGGACTTGTAGAAACAGTACTAGTAATGGGAGGTGAGAGACCTTCTGTTAGCAACACCGTTGCTAATAAAATTCTCGTTGCTGCATCTTTGATAGTTGACATCCGGTCATCCAGAAAAACCCACTGAGACACTTGGGCTCACTCTATGTGCATTCAGAGTTTTGGGACAAAAAGCTGCCTGCTTCTTATAAATGGTGTGGATTTGATTTTAAATTCATCGGTCAGTTCAGCAATTTCCTTCAAGCATTTTGGATTTGTGTCACCTTTGAGAACAGTTGTCTTGTTTTTATGGCTTTATGCGTTCATGCCTTTGGGTCATTCTTCTGTACTTCTGAGTAGCCTGGGATCTTCCTGCTTACCCTAGCCTTTGTGACTAGACTAGACATGTTAACTGAATATAACATCTTCGAAAGCAATGGCAATAACTGTTAAGTGGTTTATTCTGGAGGCTGTGTTGCCCCCAGAGGAGCACACGTGTATTGATGATACAAATATGCCTTCACTGTTTGTAACTTGTTCAAAAGGCATTACTGATTTTATTGATCAGATTCAAGGCCCTGAACTAAAGTTGGGGTGGAGCTGAAATCTGGCAGTTTTAGTGGGAACATGAGGAAACTAAATGTTACCCCAAAAAAGCCTGACTTGCTTTACTCTTAGCTTTAAAAAAATGTAGACTACCTCTTCGTTCTCTCTGTAAGAGATAACATAGCGAAATACTCATCTGAGAGGAAGAATCAAGTTAAAGGTGAAATACCATCAAAAGATGTCAGCTTGGCTTTAACACCAAGCATGTGTAGGCTCTGTGACTTTGTATTGCTGTGAGGAATAGAAGAGATTGGCAGATGCCTTCTGAAATAGAGAACAATTTTTTTATCTCTCTCAAAGTATTTTCCACACAGCTGATGTACCTTTAGTGTAGTTCTGCTTGTCCTTGAGGCAGCTATCCATGTATGTAGCCTTGTAGGCTTCCATTTGTACTCAAGTAGGTTTGCCCTTGGGTTCTGCAATTTAGAGATGTTGTGGAGGTCCGCTTTTAATTCCCAAGTTTTCTAAGCAGCTAGATTTTTGTAGCCCTTTGGAGCTTTTGATGATTAGAATACAGTCTCAAGCTATCACCTCAAAGAGGTTTCTGGGATTCTTTTGAAAAACAGCTGCAGAGGGCTAGCTTGCGAGAAATGAGGGGGAAGGATAGTGCTAAAGAAGTGCCTTCTGAAGTGCTCCTGCCCTTATCTCCTGCCCCAGTAGCACTGGCCAGCTGGTGCCTACTTCTGGTTTCCAGTATTTACATTCTTCTGGTCTCTACTTTTTTTCTGAGTTGAAGTGTCCAGGAAACAACTGAAGCATCCAGGATATCACTGGACATTGTTTGACTTACTTATGCTGGAGGGTGTTATTCCACTTTTTGGAAGCAAAAATTAAGTTGAGGAAATTGTTGGGAAGAGTTCCAGTGTTGGTTAAGAAGTTACAGTGGATGAATTGCTGACTTTTACTGGGAGTAGGGCAAGTTTCTTTCTCTGAAAGAGTCCCCCCATAGATTTTGGAATTTTAGATTTTGGAATTTTTGCTTGAGGGAGGTGGGGGTGGCAGACAGGGTAGACATGTTAGGAGGTATATGCAAGTAGAGTCAAGTACTTTCAGAGTTTCCACAATTTTATTGATGAATGAAGAAGGAGCTGAAATCTGGCAGAGACTGTTTTTCTGAAGGTATTCCGGCATAGCTCTTGATAGTCTTGAACGTGTCTAGCTGCTTTTTGAACTTCCATAAACTTGCAGCATCCACAGCATACCATGAATAGGAATTCCATAGATTGCCATCTGTTTTATGAAGAAGTTTCTCTTTCACTTGTTTTGGACTTGACATGTGCAACCTTTGATACGTCTCCTTATGTTGGAAGAAAATGTGATTCATTATTCCCTATTCAGTTTTGTCATGATTTTGTAGACCTCTGCTATATTCTTTCCTCAGTCCTTTTTCTTCCCCCTGCAGAATCCTAACTATAGTCATCATTGCTTGTGTGGAAGCCATGCTGGCTTTTGGTGTGAACCTTCTTTATAATTACAGGTACAGAGTACCAGTAATTTTACTGTATCAATTTTAAGTGGGTGCATTAGGCGGGGAACAAACATTCATGCAGTGTTGAGGAATAATGCGCTGTGGACTTGCACAGTTAAATAATTATATTCTTTGTCTTAGCTTTTTAATTTTTTTCTAACGACTTCTGATACCCAGTCTGATTTGTTCACTGTTGGTGAGTACCTAGTAGATGTTTTCATCAAGCTATCAGATGTAACCCCAACACCTCATTCCTGAGTGGTAACTAGCTCGGAGCCTGTTGTATGTAAGAATGACCTTGCTTATATGACCATCAGTATGAAATTTCGCACCTCTCTTTGATCTGATAAAGCCTGTAGCTCTTGCCTTTACTGGCACACTTACAGACTTTTGAGAGAGTTCTGAAAATGTTTAACTAACCTAAAGGATAATACTGTATAAGTAGCAAATTGAGAATTTTTCTCTGAAAAAGAGAAAACAAACCTGGACTCTGCCTGCCAGGGTTCAGGATTTTTTTAAGTATTGCAAATTCACTTAATTTTGCTTTATTATTAATTTCTCAAATAATGCATTTTTGCAAATAGTGTGAAAACTTTTTTTGTCAATGTTTCAGGAAATGCTTCAAAGAACATCAGAAGATTTTTTTCCAAAGATGGAAAGTTCAGTTGAAGAAATGGATACCTCTGATACCCAGTGGGGCTGGTTTTATTTGGCTGAGTGTGGTAAATGGCATATGTTTCAGGTAAATACCTATGAAGTTATATTGCCTATGATGGATTCCATACGTCAAATTGCCTATCACTGAATTTGTCTAAATGTGCTTTTTCATTTATTTTGAAGACTGATTCAAACAATCATTGCTCTGTTAGCAGTGAAGATATTGAAAGGAGCTTCCGAACAAACCCACATGGTTCTGTTTCTTTTACTACGGCAAAATTTAACTACATGCTAGACTTTTCAGGTATGTATCTTTTCATAGAGTAAATTTAAGTAATAGAAGGTGCCAGGTACACCAGTTCATTCAGCAAATTATTGTCCTCGTATCTAGTATACAAACTTGTGATTGGAAATGTCTTCTTTACTGGAAAGTACATAGGAGTTCTTAGAAGCGGCTGTCCTATTACATTTGCTAGTGTAGTTTATTAATAAAGTAGCATGTCTTGTTTAGTAGCACTCCATCGTGTTACTGCCACTTACCTCAGCTCTAGGTGGTATGTAGCGTACTTCTATGGGACTTGGAAGTTTGAACCTTTTTTCTTAATTGTGCAACCGCTTGTAAGCTTGAAAAATCTCTTTCCTTCGGAGTCTGCATAAGAAACATTGATATGAAGGAAGCTTTCTGCAAAATACTGGCATAAAAGTGATTTTATAATTCAGCAGGTAGTTGAAGCCAGTTCTGTTGTCAGGATAACAAGGAGACAGGCGAAAGGATTATGGCTTCTTTTTTTCTCTCTCTTTTTTTTTTTTTTTTTACCTTTCCCATCCATAGATTTATTTTCTGATTAAATTACAAACCAGCTATATGCTTAAATAGAAGCCTCTTCCAAATCAAAATAACAGTATTTCAAACACAAGTGAGGACTGGGTAAAACAGCAATGTACTGCGACTAAAGTAGTATGTAACAATACAAGGAGTTTTATGTTTACTTGTGTTGAAATGCCTGTTTAAAAAAAACCGAACATCTGTTCTGTTTGCATCTGGAATAAAAACGCTAAATGCAAGTGATAATCAGTGATTTTTATGCTGGGTCATGATGTCTTGCATTAATGATAGCAGTAATATGCTTTGTCATCCTAATTGTATTAAAGTCAGCGGAAGTTTTGCCAGTGATTTAGTGGGGCTGAATGTTTGATGGGTATTTTAACAATAAACCTTTTGTTTGTGTAATATTTGTGCACTTTGGCAAGTCATAAATGACAATGATTCTGAGACCAGTATTTAGAAACATTTATAGAAAATGCTGATCTGTTAATTGCTGAAATAGGAGTTCCTGTCAGGCAACTTTGAGTGTGGTAATGTTATTTTAAAAAATGACATTTAAATGTTTCATATGCTATAGATGAATTCCAGAAACTTTCATCATAACTCTTGTTTTATACTCAGTGATGAAACAAACCAACCTAACTACCCTTAAGCAACGTCCAATAAAGCGAGCTCCTTTTTCTATCAGTGCTTTCAGGTAAGGAAATAAAAGGAAGACTCCTTATTTTTATTTTATTCCTGATTCTTCTAAGTAAAAAGAAACAAAAATATGCTTTATATTTATTGTTTATAGTTATTTACTTTTTGCATCAAACAATTTGAGAGGTTGAACCAAGGCAGGGGAGCTAGTCAGGTGAGGAAGGAAGACATTTCAGAGGAGACGAGTGACAAAAGAATTTTTAGTTTTTTATCTTTTTCTGAGAAAGTAAGGAACTTGTAGTGGGAGGGGCAAGTTACACTGAATATTGGTATCCTTTGGCAGGGTTCTTGCTTTAGTCATTGGAGAAGCAAAATGGGGTAGTTTGTTCCATTGTAATAATGACTTCATAAATTATTTAGAAGTATTATTGTAACAGCAAAAAAGATTGAGTTATATTTTCTTGCCTGTATGTTTTAATCATATACTCTAAAATGAATTGAAATGACAAGAAATTGCATCAAAACAGTTGCAGATTGTTTTATGAGTCTAATTGCTTTAGATTGTAAGTTTCTTACCATTTGATCAGTCATTAGAAGTAAAGCTGTCCTGACATAAATCTGATGCTCATGAAACAATAAACTGATCTATGCAGTGATACTACCGCAGGTAAAATTGACTATATGGAATATGTGGAGGTTTTTCCCTAAATAGTTTCTTAGAAATAATTTAAGTTCTGAATTGTAGTCTGATTATACTTTGAAATTGGCATGTGTAATAAGAAATGTAGTAGCAATCTTTTCACACTGATATTCAAGAAGGACTCTTTTTTTTTTTATTGAAGTGTCAACTTTTTTCAATGGATATTTGCTGAAGAGTGCATGCAATAATGTGGCAATTCACTTTCGGTATTTTGTTTCTTGAATTATTGCATTCAGTACTCTATGTGATGAGATCATTCTTTACTTTCAGGAGATTGCTTCTAGGTTGTTTTTTAGGCTTACAAGCTGCTATGTATGTGGTTTATATGCTTAAAACACTTTTTTGAGGGTTTGGTTTTTTTAAAAAACAAATTCAACTATAATTTTCAAGTGTGTGTTTCTAACATGATGCTTTTAAATAGTTCAGGTGAGGGCTCAGTATCCCGAGGCTTAGGCTAGTTGTAATTTGTGAGTTTGGAATGTTCAGGCTATATCTACACTCTCACATTTCTAAATTAGTGTTGCTCTCCTGATGTTGTGTACCTTTCTGGCCATCTCTTCTGATTTATCTTCCTATCTTATCTCTTTTCTTGGTAGATGGTGTATTGAAACTGTTCATTACTGTGGTTTATTTATAATAAGCTAAGCCAGAACTTGAATGCAAAATAAGACCTCTTGCCTTCAACCTAACTTGCTGACAACAGCCTTTGTTTAAATTAAAACCCTAAGTAGTTTTGTATAAGTTGAGTTTTTTTGCATGCTGTATTGTTCGGAGCACGATTTTGACAGGAAGAAGATGCCTCATGTCTTTGATGTGATGTTTTTTTACCTTTTTTTGTTTGAAGTTTCATCTGTGAAAATGAGGCTATCCCTATGCCTTCACACTGGGAGAATGTAAATACTGAGGAGCCATATCAGGTAAGACTTGGTATGCAAGTTGGTCAAAAGCACGTGATAATGAAATAATGGATTGAATTGAAATCGTACTAACCTCTTTTTTTCCAGCTTATTCCATTGCAAAAGAAAACAAATGAATATAATGAAGTTTCTAGTCTCTTTGGAAAAACAATGGATAGCCACCGAATTAAAAGAATTAAGAGAATACAAAATCTAGACTTGTGGGAGTTTTTTTGCAGGTGAGATTATTTCTAAACCCAACAGTCTTAGGATTTTTAACAGAGCAGATCTTGAAGGCATGCAGCAGAAATATGTTTAATTTCTTTATCATTAATGAAAATATGTGTTACTTTTTATCTTTTATTAATTTTCTTATTTGTCATTCCTCTGTATTCAAAATTCCATTTCCAAGACTCTGTAGCTTCCACATGTGCAAAAATTAGATGTAGATGTAGCATAGATAAGAATGATGGAATAAAGATGTTGGATGTCCATGTGGTAGATGCCTGTGATACTTACAGTGCAGTAAGGAGAACACAAATAACCTTTTTGTAAAATAATTCCTTGACAGCCTTGTATTATTTTATTTTTTAGGGAACAAAGCAAATTTATATCTGTGGCTTGTTTAATTTCTTGACTTTATGCAATTAAGACAGAATTAAGTGTCCAATTAGCACGTATACATGCAATTTCTTGAAGTTTAATGTGCTACAAAAACTTATTTCTAAGTTCTCTGCTTTTCCCTATTCATATTGTGCTGGCCTGGAAGAAGTAGGAAGTGCCGAGTTCTGTTTCCACTTACTTCGTATCATCAATCTTAAGCAGTTATATTTGACAAAAGATATTTGTGTAGCCTCTAAGAAGGAGTACATATTAGAATCAATTTTACATATATGTTACACTATAAAAACCAACTGAACTAAGTTAGTGAGGAAATAACTAAGCAGATGTATATTAAAAATTGGCATGTTACGTGATCTTTTGAGAGATACGTAATTTATTATTAATTGAAATCTGTATCATGAATATGCATAAGGAAATGAATTTAAGTTCTTGGCTAAGAGAGTTAGCTGCCTCTTAATTGCAAATCTATTTGATTATATTTACCTGCATAGGTATTAAGCATTATTTGCTTGGCCTTGTGTTTCAACATCTACCTTTCTACAAATACGTTTCTGTAGAGGTGTATTTATACCATCTGAATACCAATCTTAATTTTTGAGAATAGAAATAGCAAGCAAATGTCAAAGTAAATGTCCTTCAGATCTCCAGTGTAGATAGAAGAGGGGCACAGGGGAAGACCTCTTTTGCTTAGCTTAGGAACTGATGTCGTTTAGAGAGTGCACTAGTTTTCCTGACTGGTTAGTGAGTAGAATTCATGATTTAAGAACTCTGAATCTAAGGATTCTGTGCTAGAATATTCTCAAGGTATGAAACAGAGAATGGGCATTATAATTTCATACATCAGGAGTATTATAGTATTGCTATATCGCTAACTGCAAGGTGCTTTTTAGTACCTGTACAGTATAAAAGTATATGGAGAAAAGTAATTTTAGTTTTAAAACTTTTTTCCTGTGACAAAAAAATGCAAGTAACAATGAAAATTGCTAGAATAAGTATATGCAATTGAGGCTTAGCTGCTTTTCTGCTGAGGGTAAAATACAGCCTTGGAGTAGGTGGGCTTACACGCACTGATGAAGAAATTATTGCCTGGTAGTATAATACAACAAAGAAGATATTCCGGCATTTCAAATTCACTAAAAGTTCTTTTGGTGTCCGATGTGGGAAAGTGAAAGTAACAGAAGATGAATCTTAGTGTAGCGTATTTTGGTTTATGCATCTCAGTTTGGAGTTGTAGAGGAGTGCACCAAGTAGAAAACAATGCTTAGTCAGTGAGATTGCTGTCCATCTTCAGAAAAAGCTTGTGTGCTTGCGTATGTACAAAGAGCATGTCTCTCGGTATTTAGTTTTGCTTTAGGCTTCTCCTTTATTGAATGAACTGGCTGCATGAGAGCCTTCTGAGTGGTGGATCAACTTAATTTTGTTTTACTGCATTAGCTTGTCACTGCTGGTGGAAAGTGCTAAGACAATGTGGTTTAGAATACTTAGACTCCTTGATTTCTGTTCCAAATCAACAAAAAGTCCTGCTGTGGCATTTCTGCATTCTGCAAAACCAGCTTCCCAGTGCGCTCAGTATATTCCACTACTTATAAGGAACAATTGCTACTTAAGCTTTTGTGGGTTTGAGCAAGTGTTTTGTTTCATTAATTAAATTTGAGCATTAATTCAGTGATTAAATTTGAGCATTGCTTGAATGATTATTTGCATCACTGTAGTGGTCAAAACATGTTTGCCTTTTATCATAGTTCCCATATTAATGACTATTTTAAATTGGTTGTATGAAATCAAGTAGTTGGAGGTAGTGAAGGACGTTACAGAACATTTTTGAACAATTGATTATTCACCTTTTTTATACATCTGTACTGTTCCCTATTTCACAAGAAGTTACTCCAGGCTACCTCTGTACACTGTCAGAGATCAGCAGCCAACAACAAGAGGGCTGCTGATTGAAAAATTTCAAAGGTTCAGCGTTACTAGCCCTTAGCTCAGTGGTGTTGCTTCACACAGGTAGTTTTGTCAAGATGCAGGGAATCTTGGCTCCTGGGTTTTGTTGATTTGCTAATAGAGTGGAACTTGAGTGCCTGGAACCTCTCTGCTTCTGACAGAAAATGTCACAAAGGAGGTTATTAGAGAAATCTCTCAGATGCCCTTGAGATTCTGTTGACATTCTTCTGATTCGGAAAGCAGTTGTAGGTGGGGAAAAAAAAAAACCCACAAAATATTAAGTTGCCAAGACATAGCTATTTTAGTTTGCACTAAACGGAGGAGGGGAAAAAAAAAAAAAAGGGCTGAACAATAAAACAGAATAAATACATCTTTCAAGCGAAGTACTGCATCAATTTTTACCTTCTGTTGGATGTACTTGTTTCTAAATAATGCATAATTGCAATGTAATGCCACTAATGCGATGAAGAATATTTGCGGCTTTACTTTAAGTATGTAGCACAGTGCCCCATGTACTGTGGCTTTTATAGGAAGAAAATTCAGGTACCTAAACAAGAATAAAGCTATTCAACTTGGTTTTACCTGGACAGTCATAGGGATCATAACTATGAACAGCTCAGTGATTTAGACACAGCGCCAGAGTCCACTTCTTCGTGGATCTTAGGAAAACCCAGCTGTCAAAGTCACTTTAAAAAGACTGATGGAAAATATATCTGTTCTTTAACTGAAGGTGTGCCATGGCCCTCTATCCATGAGACTGTAATATAGCTTCACCCTAGTATAAGTTTTTTTTTTTTTTTTTTTTTCAAAATTCTAGACTGATGTAACCCTGTCAGTGCGTGACTTAGCTGTTTTAAAAAGTATGTGAACCATAAATTGAGAAAACCATTATGAAATCACAGAATCACAGAATGGTCAGGGTTGGAAGGGACCTCTGGAGATCATCTAGTCCAACCCTCCTGCCAGAGCAGGGTCACCTACAGCAGGTTGCACAGGACAGCGTCCAGGTGGGTTTTGAATGTCTCCAGAGTGGGAGACTCTACAACCTCTCTGGGCAGCCTGTGCCTGTGCTCTCCCTCCCTCAAAGTAAAGAAGTTCCTCCTCATGTTAAGATGGAACTTCCTATGTTCAAGTTTGTGCCCGTTCCCCCTTGTCCTATCACTGGGCACCACTGAAAAAAGACTGTTCCCATCCCCCTGGCACGCTCCCTTTAAGTATTTGTAAGCGTTAATAAGATCCCCCCTCAGTCTTCTTTTCTGTAGACTAAAGAGACCCAAGTCCCTCAGCCTTTCCTCATATGAGAGATGTTCTAATCCCCTAATCATCTTCATAGCTGTAATGATCATGTTGAAGTCATTTTACCTAAAAATTATAGGTAATTTTATTTTTAATTTTTTTGCTGGTTTACTTGTGTTATGTACTTTATAATCCACTAACTTTGTTATCCCTGCCACCATGCTATTTAAGTAGGTGGAAGCAACAAAATGGGAGAAAAATGCCTTTCTTTTAAAAATGTATCTGCAAAAACTGACCACACTGAAACTAATGCCAAATGAATAATGTTGATAAAATTGTTATAAAAGACCTTTTTTCCTAATCTTGGGTTACTTCTGAAAATAGTCCACAGCATCCAGAAGTGTGTAATTTCTAAATTACAGAAGTGTGTAATTTCTAAATATATACCTTAAGAATTCTGATCCATTTAAAAACTAGAATCATCTAGACCCTTGTGAAAGGGGAATGTATGGAGTGTTTTAGGTCTGTCCCCCCCGCAGTGTTTTCAGGGTAGCAACTTAATTTGATTGTACAGATGTTTGTAATGCTGTATTGTGTGTTCTCTGTAGGAAGAAAGCTCAACTAAAGAAGAAAAGAGGTGTCCCAACTATTAATGAGCAGATGTTATTTCATGGTACCAGTAATGAATTTGTAGAAGCAATATGTATTCATAATTTTGATTGGAGAATAAATGGGATGCATGCTGCTGTATATGGAAAAGGTATGTATTTTTGTCACACACAACAGTTTGGTGATCTTAACAGTTCAACATTGTTAAGTGTTCCCTATAGTATGTTCTTTGTGATGTACTCCCTGTGTTTAGCTCAGAGCTGTTTAGTATAGGTTTGCTTTTACATCAAGTGTAATTAAGAACATTAGGATGCAGTAAGGAATGTAATTGTCACAACTGCCTGATAGGACCGGGGAGCATGGGGAAAGGATGCCCAACAAAGCAGCATTGATCACAAGACAATCTCCCTACTAAAATGTTCCCGCTAAAAATATTTGGTCATGTTACTATAATCTTACAATTTAGAGGAAAGGAAAAAAAAAAAATTGGATTCCTAATGAACATAAAAGAACAGACATCTTTCATCCTCCTGATACCTATATCCATGCTGTCATGGATAAAATGTCATGATAAGAATGTAATCAGATATTTTTTTTTTTTTTTGAAAGGGACCTATTTTGCAAGAGATGCATCATACTCCAGTCGTTTCTGCAAAGAGGACATGAAGCATGGAGATACTTTTCAAATTCATGGTGTGAATCTGCAGCCTCATCTGCATCGACCAGATAAAGTCATGTTTCTTGCTCGCGTATTAACTGGTGACTATATCAACGGTGATTCAAAATATATGAGGCCTCCTTCAAAAGATGGAAGTTTTGTGAACTTGTATGACAGCTGTGTGGATAATACCTGGAACCCAAAGATCTTTGTTATCTTTGATGCCAACCAAATCTACCCTGAATACTTAATAGAATTTTGTTAAGTGTGAAAGGAGCTGAACTGAATATTGTTTGTGTCTTTTTGATACTTTTGTTCCTTTTGTAAAGACAACAATATAAAAACGTGAAGTGTGAAAGGAGAGAGGTGACAGAAAAGCTAGCATATGTGTATGGAGGAGGGAAGCTATTAAACATTTGAGAGAGATTGTCAAACTGTTTTTAAAAATCTGTAAACTGTACTAATGCTTTTTTCAAATGTAGAGACTATTACAAATTTGGAATTCCTTAATAAGCCTTAAATACATTGGGCATTGGTAAGTTTTCAAAGGCACAATTTATGTTCTGATTTTTTTTTTAATATATTACAAGTATTTATTCATGTGGTAGAAATATGCCTGTTACATAGTATGTGTATGATGAAACTAATCTTTTATAAAGATTGTCTGTAGACCATAAAAACAACAAAAACAAGAACAAAAACCCAGGGCACTTGACTGCATCTGCGTGTATGTCTGTGTTCTGTAGTACACGTTGCGTTGTGTTCAGATGTCTCTTAGTTTGAGTTCTAAACTTACAAAAAAATCCATCTGGAGGAAACTGGTGAAGGAGCTATAAAGTTCACCAAAGCTGTTGTGTTTAACTTTAGGTACATTTTACTGTAAGCTTCAATTCCATACTTGCAGAGATTCAATCACATACTTGCAAGATTGCAAAAACCTTGCACTAGGATTTGAACTTTGGTTTTGATGGAAATTACACTCTTGTAGTTGTTAACTGTTGGTGTGTAACTGTCGAGCTCAGCATTGGGAAATCTGCTGTGCCATACACCTTTCTGAGTTCTTATTCTGTAGGCTTTTTGCCCTCTTGTTATAGTATGTGTGTGCATGCACTTACATTCATGCTGCTGTGCTGCTTGCCTTGTCAGGGTTTACGAAACTCTTGGTGCTCGTGTATTGAAGGCAATGTTTAAATTAACTTCACTGGAAATAATACACTTAAGCTAACAATTAAAATATCAAAAGATGCCATCCTTTAGTTTTTAAACACTTTAATAGAAAGCTTTCAAGAACACCTGTGTAGATCAGGTTTTTGTAACTGGTATAGCTATAAAGTTAAAGAGTATTTTTCACATGTGGAAAGAGCAAAAGAGACAATATTTGGGTAAACAAGAAACTTGAGTACCGAATTATACAAAGAGCCTGAAGAAGCGGCTGTTACAGTCAAATGCACTGAAATGTTAAACAATTTGCTGCACGATTGTGTCCCCAGTGTTTTTTGTTGTTAAAGGACCTAAGGAGCACTAAGGGACAGTAGTACAAGGTCTAAGTGGAAGCCTTCAAGCCTTCTGCTTTGGCTACGACCAGTAACAAATCCTTGTAGAAATACTATATAATTATGGCAGATATAAAATGATCTGTCATGGAATTGTTAATGGACTTTTTGGATCAAAGGATATGTTTAAAATCTATTGTATTTAAAAGGCACTGCAGCTGGCATGACCAAGTCTGCTCAAAATCACATTAAACCTGTGGACCTGGAAGCATAATGTGACTACATATCTGGCATCGTAAGTGAAGACGCAAACATCTCTTTCTTTTCCTTAGTGCTGTTATCTTTGCCTGTCAGTGGATCTTGCACAAGTTGGGTATCTCTTTGTATTTATAATTTCATGGCAGCTTTTCCTTTTGCTTCTGTTCCTAAACTGTTTAGTGCTAAGATGAATTTTCCTTTATTTTGGTGCAACAGGAATTATGAACTCTAGGTTCCACTGTTGTAGGCATCTGTGTTTGATTCACTACTATGCTAGCAGTGCAAGAGGCACATTGTTCCCCACATTGTAGAAAATATTTAACAGCAAATCATGCAGGGAATTTGTGTAGTACTGACTCCTTTTTATTCTTATACAGCATTCTACACAACGTACATTTTATGAAACTAACAAACAGATGTACACGCTGTTGTTCCTTTGATTTGGTCTTTTGTTTCTTTTGAGGTCTGAACTGATGTTTTTACTTAAGAAAAATGAAGTTTCTTTTTTGTGTCTTATGGACACAAAATACCATAATGTATACTGATCCTAGTGACTTTTCCAATTGTGTGTGTGGTGTTGTCTTGTTTGCTACTTAACTCATTTAAATTGAATGGAAGAATCTTAATCTTGCCCAACCACTGTGCAATTGTAGCTTCAGCTCTTTTTTTTTTTTTTTTTAAGTACTGTTCTGCTTTCTGGTGTCCATTTTTGTGCTGGTCAGTCTTGATACTGAAAGTATCTGTAAAGTAGCCATCCTTTTGCTGGCAAGGGGAGAGAGATTATTATTGCAAGCAAAGTCCAAAACTCTATGAGTAGCTAATACAAGAAATAGTTGGACTTAATAAAAGGAACAGAGGGGAAGGGAGGAAAATCATTTCTTGGACTACGGAGCATTAAGGAAACAGAAAGGGATTTGGTCTGATTCTGGGGAAGGAAACCTGCTATTTTCTGTTACTATTTCATGGAGTGAAACTTTATGCTTCATTTTCTTTTTACACCTTTGCAAGAGAGCCTGTCATTCTCACACATGTCTTGATCTGAGTTAAAGGTTTCTTACTGAATTATTCTAGTGGCAGAATGTTTTCACATGGGCATAATGCTTCAGTATGAGCTGATCTTATTTCTATATCATGCTGGCCTCTTGTGCCAGCTTTGCTTTTTAGAATGGGGGTGTACTCAATTATTGCTGAACAGATCTCATTTCATCTGAAACAGTTTGGGAGAGTGTCTGTCTTCATTCCAGTTCCTTTACAGGGGCAGTTCATACAAACTTTTGTTTTCAGGTTAAAATCGGCAGAAACAATACAGCTTTATTTTTTAACAGATGTCTCACTACGCTCACATCCAAGCTAGATGTGAGATACATAATGTACCAGCTGGAGTTAGTGACTTGAATTCCAGGAGTGCATTGGATGCCAGTTCAGCTGGGGGTTTGAGGACAACTCTGATCCTTCTTAAACCATTATCAGCACATAAGGTCATAGCTGGAAGGCTAAAGTGAGTTTGTGCAGTCTACATAGGTGGAGATTACCTGCAGGAAGAAGACTTATCAGTAATAGGTGTACTTCTCAGTGGCCTATGCAGACTGTATATCTGATGAGCATGTCAGTCTTAAAATTCCTTTGACATATATGTCCATCAGTGTTGTAACTATGATTATTATTAGGCACTGTCCAAACCAGCAGACATTGAGAACAACATTGGTCTCCTGCAGTATAGACCTCTACTTGACAAGTCACCAAAAAATTGTGGGGAATACTTTGTAATGTGTTTGCTTCTCCCCTGCTTCTCTTGCCTTTCTCCACTGACACAGTCCTGCAGAGTTAGTGAAGGAGTTTAGAGCGGCCAAAATAAGAATGGGGTTGCTTGGCTGCACTTTTTTTGGTCTTTTTGTTTAAAGACAGAAGCCGCTCTCATTGCTGATGAATCTACTGACTTGATTTCTGTCAGTTACAGCATAGAAAAGCCTATGTCACTAAGCCACACTAGAGGTCAAACTTCCCCACCCCCCAAAAAACCCCCACATATACTGCATAGCAAATGGATTGGGGGACCCTGGCCTGGAGCTTACACACCCCACACCCCCCCAGTCACTGGCTAAGACCGCCGTACAGTTTACTG